GTAAATTCACTTTCTTTGTAATCCAAGTCCCCTATTAATTATTACTTTCACAGTTGGCCCACCTCACTCCTCCCTTTTTTTTTCAAAGGTAGAGTCGTCCCCTTTTTTTGTTATATGGTTTCGCATAGCCGCAAGTGAGTTGGCCTTACCCCCCCACCCTCGAGTTAATTAGTTAATAGTCAAAAGGCCTTGATTATTTGTTGTATGGATATTTGTTGAATGGAAAAATGAAGAGAGTTAAGTTTAATCTCTATGAACCGCTCCTCGTGTAATCATTCAAACCCCCTCCCTCTTATTATTTCAGGTCCTCGCGCAAATCATAGCAAATCTCCCTTAATGATTAGACGAGAATAAAGTTCCTGATTTTCGTGCCTTCGACGGGAATATTCATATATTTATTGCCTGGCCAAGGTCACACCATTCATAATTGATTGCAAAGGAAAATAATCACCAATGTCCGTACTGCTTAATTGAATTTTGTTGATGGCCTATGTTTATAGAAATATCTTTCCATGTATGAGGGCCGTTTCATAAAATACTCATGAGTGTATAGTAATTCTATTACCAATATATGAAAATCCAAACGTTGTTACCTGGTCCAAGAAGTCCGGTACATGCCTAATTGTCCATGCCAAGTCACGCCCGATCCATATTGGATTTGAAATGCTTTGTCAGCTCAAGACCCGGTTAGGGCTTATAAGTTCGATCGGACCTACGGGCCTTCTTGGGGCTTCATCCGGCTAGTATGCGCTTATTTTGTTAAATTGAAACTCAATTCCATAGAAAAACACCATTATCGGAACAGGTCAGCCTATTCGCATTTCTTTTTGGTTAATTGTGGATTGTTTAAACCTAGCCTAAAAAAAAGTGTGCCAAAATGATTTCTACGGGCGTCCTTCATTCGCAACAACCCATCCGTTACTAACCCGCCACGAAGTTGCTTAGCTTTCATGCCTCTTATGAGCCAAATGAATCGATAATTGAATATCCATTGTCTATATGCATTCAGATCAAATCTAATTATCTCGAATTTATGGTTTAATATATTTACGTATCAAATGTAACTTCTCGACTTGACAATTTGTCTTCCCAACTATTATTATTATGAACGAGTTTGACCAACATCCTCAATTAATTTCACTTTTTAATAATGTTGATTCACATTTGTTTAATATTTTGTAACGAGCATCGGGGATGCCCGTTAGAATCCCCAATAAAATTCAGAAATAGAGAGAGCGAGGCAAATAAAATTACGGGTCAGGTTTAGAAAAATTTGGATTTCCCCCCTTTCGGGGTGGTTTAGAGTAGGCTAAGGGTGAGAGGGATTTTTAGAGGATGAGAGAGTAAGCCCTCCGGGTCGGGTAGGTCCGGCTAAAAAGCCGGCGCTCTAGGAAAATGGGTTCTGCGGATTAATTGGTACGGGTGGCAGGCCGTACGGGGTAAAAATATTAACAACCCCAACGGATTGCCAAAGACTGATTACGGGTGGAAGGTCGTACGCGGTAGATTCAGTCACTACCCCTACGAATTGCCAAGACTGAATACGGGTGGAAGGCCGCTCGGGATAAAATCAGTCGTTATCCCGGCGGATTGCCAAATTAATTAAGGGTTAGGAAAATAAGATTAGGTTAAAGAATTAGGAATAAGGGTCTTTTAATCCCGAGAACCCAGGGGAACCGATCCTGAGGAAAAGAAGGTGATAGATAAATTTTAGGATTGGGGAATTAATTCAAATTTGAATTAATTCCCCCGCGAAGGGCTTGGCCCATAATAAGGTAGAGGGATCCACCAATCGACACCCGATCGATTGGTAGGCGTGATTAGGGGGGTCAGCGTCACGCGACACTGACCTCCGAAAATCAGTCACGCATTAACCGCGGTAACATCCACACGTGAGTGAACAGGAATGAGTAGTGAGACTTGACGAGTGCATCATCCAGGATACCAGGACAATTAGCTGCAGCCAGGATGGTCCTGAAGAGAAAAAGGAAGGCAGCGAGAAAATCTACCGTGAGTTTTTACGGTTATATTTAACGATTTTCCCCTTTTGGCGGCTCCCCGATAATTATTGGCGGTTGTGATATTTTTCCGAGCCATGGAAATGGCCTCGGTTGTGTCGCCCAAAGTTTGGGTGGTTTTGAAGAGGTTTGGGGAGGATTTTTCGGAATAATTTCGGCTTGCATTATCCCCCAGTGCGGTTGGGGGGTCATTAGTGTGAATTGTGGGGTTTTGAGAGTATTTTTATGGGAGTTATGAGCGAAATTGTCCACGGCCAACAAACAAGGCCAGTGGTTCTCCGTCGTGGTGCCATCGAGGCAGCCATCGAGCGGCTACGTGCAACAGGTGGGGAATCGCGTGTTAAATTTCCTCGCGATTATTAATTGCGTTAACGGGGTTAATTATGTACTTCTGTGTCTAAATTTTTGTGGGATTGAGGGGAATAATGTCCCGAACCAGATGGTTCAGGGCTTTCCGGAATCCGCTGAGCGGATTCCGGGTTATCGAATTTTCAGTAGAGTTGGATGGGTTTGGTGGATTTCTCCTCGCTGCTAACCGAGCAGCGAGGCATCGTGCCGTCTCTCTCGCTCTCTCTCGCTCGCGCTCACTCGTCGAGGGTCCGATTCCGGGAAATTATCGATTTCCCGGGCGAAAATAATATTTCGGTTATTCCTCGGAGTATCGCCGATCGATAATCCTTGAGGCCGCATTCCGGTGGAATTATTTTATGGGAATGTGGAATAGTCAACAGAATATTTCAGATTTTGTTAAATAATTTATTTTTCGCGGTGATTTAATGAGACCAATGAAATTGTATTTAGGGTTTTGTTAGAAAATTCATATTCCGCGACGATTTAAGGGGGGAATTAAAATTATAATTGGGGATTTTGCTGGAACTCTGGTATTGAGAGGGAATTGAAAATTGCTAATAAAATTTGGAAGCAGATTAGCCTAATTAAATCGTTATCATTCATTATTATTGTACCGAATTTTGACGTGAATAGCGGAATACGTAGGGACAATGTTTTGTTGCATTAATTTATTTCTCGCCTCCCGTTTCCTTTTTTTGTGTATTTTTCCCGATTTTTCCGATAACCTTGTTCCAATCTACAATCCACCCCTCTCTCCACAACAGGCATCCTGAGCGACCCGAGGACCGTCACCTTTCCCCGAAAGCCGAGCTATCCTTTCCGTTCCCTTTTGGATTCCCTTTTTTGGATTTTAGAGAGTAAGTTTGAGTTAAGATTTTAGGATTTCGAGGTACGATTTTCGATCGAACGAATATCGAGATTAGTTAAGTTTAGGATTACAGAATTTTTCGGTTTGGTAATTCCGGTTAAAGATTACCTGGCGCCCATTTGATTAAATTTTAGCAGGTTTATTAGGCTTAGGGGAAGTAGGGCGAAGGTAATGGGCATTTTCCATTCCCCGGAAAATGTCACGTTACAATTTATAGAATACGACAGCCGAAATCGCTGATTTCTGCGATCAGAATCTGTGAGGCATAGACTACGGCATACCCGAGACCGGCAGCCTTATTTATTCCGAATCAGGACCGAATTTATATTACCCATAACTTGGCGGGGGCGGCTAGCTTTATGTCATCTAAATACCGTGTATGCCAAAAACCGTGGCATACACGGTATTCAGGGGATAGGAAGCCTCATTTGACATGAATCCGTGTCGGCTATATCGCACATATGACTTGTCGGAGGACGGCAAGACCGCCGTATACTTGGCGCACTAATTCATGTGAATCATTAATTAACCTATCAAATAATTTGGAAATAATTCGGGGGATTTTAAGGAGATGGTTTCATAATTTGGGGAGATCTCGTTGATTAATTATTTATTTTTTTTTATTAAAGCGTATAGTTAGCGAAAATTTCTTATTTTTTATTTTTCTGAATTGAAAATTACATAGAATCATTTGGGGAATCGATTTCTGTAGATTTCATAATTTGGGGAATTGACAAAGAGTTGATAATTAATAAATAAAATAATTAAATCAATTTCCAGTCGGGCGCGTGCGCGCCTGTATACCCGTTTCATCGTTCGTCATCGGGCGCACTAATTAATGGTAATCATTAATTAACCTATGAAATAATCAGGCGATACTTTGGGGAAATTTAGGGAGTAGGCTTAATAATTTGGGAAGACCTCGTTAATTAATTATCAATTTTTTAAACTTAACGTACGTAATTACCAAAACCATCTTTTTTGTTTAAGGGAGAATCATTTGGGGAATTGATCCTAACTGTTCTTCTAATTTGAAAAATTGAAGAAATTTCAATAATTAATAAAACAGTTCATTGTTGCTAGTTTTTGAAAAATCGAAAATCAAATAATGCACTTATTCATATTGATTTCCACTCAATTTTTTCCCATTTTTTTGAACTTCAAACTTCTTTGTCAGTTATTTACTTGCTGTGTTATTATCATAGGAAAATCGTCGTTTTCCAATTATATTTCACCGATGCACAAAAAAACGAAAAATTTATGTTTCATTCAGTTTCCCATTGTTTTCTTTCAACCCTTAATGTTTTTCACTCAATGTCCATTTGACAAATCACATTATTTTGGATTTTTGGCACGAAAAAACAGAGAAATGGAAGAATTATTTCCACTCTAATTGACTAGTGTTCTCTTTAATTAATGACTCCCATTAATTAGTGCGCTAAGTATACGGCGGTGACGGCAAGCCGGGTATGGCCCGTATCAACCATGTCTGGTATCAGGCTGCCGACATCAAGTCAACCGTATTAATTTTTTAGTCGGGTATATGAGTGGCTGAATTATGGTAAGGTAACAAAGGAATACGAAAACTATATTGAAAGACGTGAATACTTTCATCAAAACTGGATGCTATTGGCTAAAGTCATTTCCGAATTGAATGAAGGATAAAAACATTGATTGACGATTGGTTGCATAAATATTTGATTGGTTTTTTTTTCTCAGTACATTAATATAAAGGACTAAACTTTGCCTCTTATCATTTGCAGGAATCCAATTATCAAATGCCTTATTAATCTGGGATTTTTTTGGTCATCAAGAGTACGCTTGGATTACTGACACCAAAGAAAAGAAGAAAACTGCATTCTTCCAGAACATGGAAAGTAAATTGAATAGCCTTTGTATTCGGTGAATGATCATGGCACTGCGATCCGCATTTGAAATCTCTATCGAGCTAGAGCTGTTTTTCAACGTGCAACTTAATCCAATATGTGCGTTCCAAATGAAAAAAAATGTCTTGCTTATAAATAAAATTCTTGCTTATGATTCTTGCATCCTTTCCTATTATTCTTTAGTATACTTGTGGAATGAAATATTACGCTATTACATTGGGGGTGAGAGATAATTAATTAATAATTTTGTAAATAAAAGTGTCATACACTAAAGTTCATGTTAACTGTTATCCAATTAGCAATTATAAAAAAAATGTTCACCGATTCATTGTGCCACATCCTCCCTTATTGGATGGTTAACAACCGTGCGCTTATTTGTGTTTAAAGTGCTTTTATCAACCGATACAGAACAGAAGGCTAGAGGAATGTTTTAAAAATGCAAACTAACGTATCTGGACATCTGTTCTCCAGTTTCCTATCCTTGGGATTCTCGTAAATATGCCACTGCATTGCCGGCAATGCCGCAACTTGTATTTTACGCCGAACAGCAGAATAGGGATACTTGGTTCTTTATTTCTGTCCCCACCTTGAACCTGGAGAGAAAAATGGAAGGTAGTATTCTGTTGCGCCTGTTATCAATTTTTTTTTGTTTTGTGTATTTATTTGGAAGGGGTCCGCGAGGAAAACGATATGTTATTGCTTCAATAATAACGTTGTTTACATATATATTGGATCATTAATCTGAAATGATTTATGCCAGTTATTAAGTACGGAATGATGTCTATGCGTCATTTTCTTATGTTTGTTTGAACGGCGAGCGGTCGGGCTGGTTCTATTGCGTGTAAGCATTGATTAAATAATGAAAATAGGACTGTTACAACTTATGTCATTATTGATACATAACATTCTTGTTTCCATTATGATGGACATAAATTTTAGCAAATAATTTTCCATTTTTTTTACAACGTTGTCCAATATTCTAAATCAAAAAAATAGAACTACTGTCAAGAGAGCCAGTTACAGGAGGCAATGTCTTTCCGTCATACCTATACGGAAAGTTCAATTTTACTCTTCACACCACAGGAACAATGTGGTCTATTGGCCATCCCCCAGTTCTGTTGTTTTCGAGGCTCCTCGGGATGATGTAACCCACATTCTTCCCGTCATTTACAAAGAAAATCAAACTGCTCCGCATATTGATGACGGAATAGTACATTGTGCATTAAGGGCGGAAAGTCATTTTTCCCGTTCGAGGTGCATATGCTATTTTTCAACAGGGCAAGTTGTGTGTTGCTGTCTGAAAAAGTGAAGGCAAGTGAATAGTTATATACTATTGCCAAGGATATTTACTAAGAATAATAGATATATTTAGCATTAGTCAATATTATGGGAGTTTCTATAGAATGATTGCCAGATTTACTGGTAGAAAAAAATATATTTTGGTCGTATTTACATGGAAAATTCTATTTTATTTTACTTTCGATTTTACCGGCGTGTTCATCACCTACGGCTTCATCTCCCCGACTGGAAATTCAGACAGGGGTCACACCAGGACCTAATAATGTTGCCACATTTCGTATTTGAGGCCCCAATCAGGCAAAAATGGGAGTGGCACCGAAAGGCCTGATCCGGGGTGTAACGCTTTGGCAAATCAGACCCACATGATTTCTGCCTTACCCGGTCCACATAATCTCTGCCACATACAGCCCTGATAAACGTAGACTGAGACGGGCCGGACGAGATCTCCTGGACAGGGCTAGATAGCTTAACTAATGCGGGGCCGGATCATCAGGACTAGTTCAGGCCCTTACTTATCCCCTTTAAACAGCCGGATATATTTTTTACTCATGGCATTGGTAAGAGAATTATTTTATTTCATTAATAATTGAATGTAGTTAACAAGCGTAGTGTTTAACATTAATTTTCATGGTGGTACTAATGGTGAGTTACTAATGGTGATGGCATATGGCAAATTTTGCGAATTACCATTATTTTGTGAAGTCCATATACATCTGTTCCTTATCGTCTATGACAAGAATTGTTAATACATTAGGCCAGGCATGGGCAATCTCCAGGTAGCTCGGAGCAGAGCCATAAACTCGAATTAGAAATCCAATAAAGTTTACAACCATTTCAATAATAAGGGTCTTAGTACTAGCATAGTGGGGGCAGTAGTGAGGGCTTCACAGGTACTAAGGTGTGGAGTATCCCATGAAGCATCTGGCAAGAATTTATCCTCCGGAAGGGTAAAACTTGTCGCGCATCTGATTATTTTTTAATGCACACATGAAAAAAAATTGAAATTTTTCTGATCGACTTATTTCGCTGCTTTTCCTTTACTTGAGTCTCATTTCTCCTCTTTTCCTTTTCTTAAGCGTCACCCCCACTTCGGTTGA